TGCTCATCTGGCATTCCGGTGCCGTGGCGGCCGTTCCGCCCGGTGACAGCCACTCGGGCGCTGCTGAGAATTGCCGTCCTGTCTGCCGGTGTGACGGCGGGACCAATATTGGGCGACTGGGAACGGGAGCTGCTCTGCGGGTCGGTGGGAGGCGACACAGCCGTGTCGGACTGAGCTGAGAGCAGCCCGGTCCCGTTTGCTGAGAACGGACCGCGTTCGGCCGCGTCTGTTGGACGATCGATGTGCGGCGCCGGCCAGACGGGCGCCGCCTCAACCGTCGGCCGTGCGTCCGTCGAGAGCGACGAGAACAGCGGCGGGGGGGGGGGGAAGGGGAGGGACGTGGGCGGGTCAGGGGTGGCGGGTGGTTATTGCAGAGCCTTCGCCTAGGTCGTCTATCGGCTATGTATGCAGTTATAGCAGCCTCATTCGCAGCTTAGGCCATTCCCACTTTCTTTTTTAACTGCATAAATTCAACTCTGGACCTCAACATTTCAACCTCAACCACGTTATGAATGTTTTTGAGGCATGACTATTGAATGACTAGGCTGTCACCCGTTTAATGATTATAATCTATGGCTTCGTATGGAAAGCTGTACCCGAAAATCTTAGCCGTAGAGCTCTGACTCGGGTTTGCGCCAATGTTTTTAGAATTAAGGCGACGATGCGAGCGACGTATGCCAGTCATGCCGGTCTCCATTTGATTTACCAGGCGACAACTGGCCGGCCGGCCGTGCGAACTGAGGTCTGATTGGGTTAGTCAAATTGAATTTGCATTTGACTGTTCAGTTTGTTTCCGATTCATAGGGGATAGCCTTCAGTGAAATGACGATGGCTAGTGTAATGCACTTTAGAGTCGGCAATTTCATAATCGATATCGGATCCGTGCTGAGATGTGCTGTGCTGTGCTGTGCTTCGATTCGTTGTGCTGTGCTATGATGTGCCGTGCTATGCTAGACTGTGCTGTGCTGGGCTTGGTTGTGCTGGGCTGGGCTGGGCTTGGCAGGCGGTGCTTGTTCCCTTGTTTTGGTGTAGGCATTGAATGTGACGGATGTCGAATGTAGGCTAAGACACCGGTTTGCTTTAAATGAACCTTTCTTACTTTGGGCTCGTACCGTATGCCTGCGACTCTGGGTACCCTCTCATTGGCCGGTCACGCCGTGTCTGCCCCCGGTGTCAGTTTTCCCACCAGGGAGCACTCCTCCCTTCTCCCCTGTCACCTCTGGGCTCGTCTGTCACATCCGCGACCACAGCCACGCCGCTTGGGTTTCATCCCGGCAGCGGAGGGGACGTGAGGTCAAGAGACAGCAGATGGGCCGCCTGGGGAGTTGTCGCTCAGCTGATACTCCCTTGGAGAGCTGGGCACTGGACTGGCCTGAGACCACTACCGCGCTGGCAGCGGGCCCTCGACCCGACACTCTGGATTGTCGGTCGACTACCGTCCGTCCTCTGATGCAACGCCGACCGGACTGCTCAACTGGCATTGCTGGCGTCACTGCCGAACAGCGGAACGTCAGCCAACAGCAGCCGCCATCAGTCGTGTCCGCACGTCAGACAGCCCCGGTTGACGTCAGTTGTACCCGAGCGTAGTACATACGTCAGGCGCCATCAGCTGGCATCAAAGCTGCCCAGCCCGGACGTGCCGCTCTCGTCGAGTTCCTCTCTGTCCGCCCGTCCGTCTGTCCGCCCGTCTGTCTGTCTGTCTGTCTGCTGGTGTCACTGCAACTGAGCTGCTGTATTCCAATGGCTGTCTGAACCGTTCTCAGGGCATCGAGAGAGTCTCGAGCAGTTTGCCTGACCTTTTCTGTCTCATGGTCAGTTATGAATGAAGCGAGGAGTGGTCTGCTGATCTGCCGTTGATCTACCCGGGGTGTCTGACCTGCCTCTTCGCCGCTATACCACACCCCTTTCCGTTTGCCGTTATCCGCCCACCATTCTGCATCCCCTCTCCCCCATCTGACGTCCATTGCCCACCGCCTGCCGTCCATCGTCCCTCGCCCAGCCCACCTCCCTCTGTCCGCCGTCCGCGGCGGGCTCCCGTGGGCGGCCGTTTTGGCTATCTGCGGGCGGAGCTCCCCGGCCGCGGCGTCCGGTGCTGTCAGTGGCAGCCCGGCCTGGCGCCAGCTTCGGGGTCACGGTTCGTCGGAAGGTCATCTCAGGCTCAAAAGAAGCGATATATACCATTCGAAAGCTTACGGTGAGCTGAATCCAAAAATTTATTTTTTATCAAAATCGATCGATGGCCTTTTTTGAAAATTGCGTTTTTCTAAAAACTTAATAATTTTTTATTCAACGGGCTGTCCCGGACATTCTTGAAAACATAAACATGTTTTTTTAGTTCCAGTGAAAGCTGAACGCCAAAAGAACAATATTTAGCGAAGCAATATTTCCAAACATTAATATGCGTCTCCCACAGCCGAAAATAAGACACAGCTCAGTGTCACGATGGACCAAAGTCAGCCACACAGAAGCGTGAAATGACCCTTATCGACTCGCAGACCCGGCGCTCTCGGCCCGCCTGACCGGCCACGGAAAGAGCGTTCGGCTCTCGTTCTACTAAACAAATGTCAAAGTTGTCAGTTTAACTGTCCACATCGCTATTAAAGCTATTCAGGATACCTGTGAAGAGAATTCATTGTTCTGTCATCTTCACATCATGCATTAATTTGCATCTGTTCATGTCTACTTTGCTCAATTGAGCTTGGTATCATGCCCATATAAGGAAAATTGGGCGCGCTGAAATGTCAGAGGCTGCACCGGCCTCAGCTCGGGTGGAGTGGGGGTAGCGCCCGGCGGGGCAGGGTAACCTTTGACCGGTCGCACGGCCGAGCAGCTGACACCAGTACAGCCGCTGACAGTGAAACCCCGCTCACTTCCCCTGCGCGGACACTGATCGCAGCTGGATGGAACAAAACATGTATAAGAAAAATGTAAATTAAAGCATGTTGTAAATCAAGCAGAACAATGAAGTTTCTTCACAAGTATCCTTAGTAACTTTAATAGCGATGTGGACAGTTAAAGTGGCAAATATAACATTTGTTTAGTAGAACGAGAGCCGAACGTTCTTTCCGTGGCCGGTCAGGCGGGCCGAGAGCGCCGGGTCTGCGAGTCGATAAGGGTCATTTCACGCTTCTGTGTGGCTGACTTTGGTCCATCGTGACACTGAGCTGTGTGATTGCGCCTTATTTTCGGCTGTGGGAGACGCATATTAATGTTTGGAAATATTGCTTCGCTAAATATTGTTCTTTTGGCGTTCAGCTTTCACTGGAACTCAAAAATACATGTTTATGTTTTCAAGAATGTCCGGGACAGCCCGTTGAATAAAAGATTATTAAGTTTTTACAAAAACGCAATTTTCAAAAAAGGCCATCGATCGATTTTGATAAAAAATACATTTTTGGATTCAGCTCACCGTCAGCTTTCGAATGGTATATACCGTTTCTTTTGAGCCTGAGATGACCTTCCGACGAACCGTGGGGTCTGCCTACCGACAGAGAGGGAGAGACTCGGGGCGGCTGAGCAGGGCGGCACCTGGCCCGCAGAGGATGGGACCAGGAGATGCTCCCAGCGCTGCGTGGGACAGGCTGTGTGGTCATCCACGCAGCCGTAACGGTGTTCAAACATGGTGCGTAAATGTCTGTCAGGAGACTGGAGGGTCGACACTGCTGCTGACAGCTCAGCGCAGATGGTTCCAATCAGGGTTGTGCTCGACTCAAAAAAATTTGCCGACTCGACTCATCATTCAACCTCAGAAAGCCCTGACTCAACTCTGACTCAAACAAGGAGCTGATTTTTTCCCTTGACTCGACTCATGACTCAAGCGGCTCAATGAAAATATGAGTCGACTCAAACTTGACTCAATTTTTTTTGTTGAGTCAAGTGAGTTGACTCAAAATTGACTCAGATAAAAAAGCTGTTGAGCGGGGGGAGGGGGATGAAAAAGTCCGGCAACAGGGTCAGGGAAGCGGGGGTGGGGAATGAAAAGCTTGTTTCTGGAAAGTTGAGTCAGCTGACTCATGTTCCTAAATGTTTGACTCAACTCAATGTCAAAAGTTATTTTACTGACTCAACTCTGACTCAACTCAACGCCTTAATATTTTTGTCCGACTCAACTCTGACTCAACTCGACAGCTCAAAAATTTATCCGACTCGACTCAAATCTGACTCATTTGAGTCAGAATTGAGTCAAATTTTTGACTCGACTCATGAGTCAAGCACAACCCTGGTTCCAATGCATGGGTGACATGATGACTGCAGGGTCACGGCTCTGTCTGCTGAGTGCGAACCTTTAGAGCGGTGGGCGCTGAAAGCACTGTCGAGTGTGGACCGACTGCACTCTGTGCTCGGTCCGGGGATGGGCTGAGTGAGCCGCAGCCGTGCCGTATAATGAGCTACCGTGTCGTGACCGCGGTCATTTACACAGAACCTGACCGCGGTCATTTACACAGAGCTGGGTAAGTTGGGAGTTGGCCTGCCACCGGCGCGGCTCCCGAGAGCGACTGTGAACGCTGACCCCGGCCGGCTTCTCTGGTGATCGCTGTCCCCCGGGCCGACAGTAGCCAATTCCGAACAAGCCAGTGGCTGTCTGTCGACAGAAGGTTATCTATGGCCATTGGCCAGTGGCGGTCGGCCATTTAATTTCATTATCGGTAGTTTTGGGTCCGGTTGAGCCCAATCTGTAGGGAGCTCTCAACAACTTCTTGAAGTTTAGAGATCGTATTATTGCATGTCGCACATTATGATCTCTTGCACATTTCCTAGTAGCGCTATTTTCGGTTTCATGAGGTGTTATCTTCGTGCATAAACATCCAAATCTGGTGACCTTGCCACCTTCCGGGGGTTTCCTCCAATCCGGGAGCGTCGCGTGAGTCGGCGGCGGCCCCCAGGCGGCCATCTGGGCGACCTTCGCTGCGCGGCGCGGCGCACTAGCGACCCCTGCCGCCGCCGCCGCCGCCGCTGGGAGCTCGCCTCGCTCACCTGGCCGGACGGGCAGTGCGGTGCGCGCGTGGTCCGGGGTAGGTGCCCGTGCGGTCGGTGGGAGCGGGTAGGGAGTGGAGCGACCGCAGCTCGCAGCCCGCAGCCCGCTCCGAGAGCTGAGTGACGAGTGATTACCTGACCGCGCCGGGCGACCTGTCACCGGGTCGGGTCGGGTAGTGTTGGTGTCGGACGGGCGGGAGGCTCTCCGGGCCCCCCGAGCCGTCCCCCTAGTGTTGTGATCGGTTCAGACCGCTCGGGTGACGGTGCCGCCGTCCTGGCTCTGTCCACGCTGGCGTCGGCGGTGGCGGGCGGCGCGGTGCGTCGCCGGGTGCCCTCGCCGGCGCCGCCGGCCGCTCACCGGCTGTCGATGCCGTCGGCGCTGGGTCGCCGGTGGCGGCCGGCCGTGCGTCGTCTCTCGGCCGCCTGGGAGCGCACCGAGCGCTCGGGCCGCGCCGCCGAGCCTGCCGGCTGGGAGTGGCGCCGCGCCGAGCCGAGCGGCGCCGGACTGCGGCCGCTGAAGGAGCAGTCTCCGCCGCCGCGCCGGCCCCTCTCCATGTGAGTAACCGAGCTGTGTTAGCTGAGTCGCTGGAAACTGCCGATACCGGCTGTGTGGCTGGTTGGGCTTTGATGGTTTATTTATTCCGTTCCAGAGTTATGCTACAGCTTCGCAGAACATACCCGGATGTTTTGAATGAACTATGCTATCAGCTGGAGTTAAGACTTGCGCGAGTCCCATCTTAGCAAAAATCGGTATCACTGACGGCGAAAGGATCATTCAACTCTTTGAGTCTTGCTCGCTTTTAAATGACTATTGGTCAGTTACTTCTGAAGCCTACCAACACTACCCATTCCATCGATGCCTCTTGGAAGTCACAATAAGCCTTTTCCTCACCCTTTTCCTTGCCCAATTCCATCTGCTTCTGCGTTATTGGGACAAAACTCCAGCATTCCAGCACTTCATCAGGGTTCTCCGGCGTAGCTCTCCCAGACGTGCTGGGAATCGTCGACACGTGTTGTGCTCTCCATCTGAACGCGCGTGCGTGCGTGTCGGTGAAAGTGCTGTGCGTGCGTGTCGTGTCGGCGTCACGTGACGGACCCGTTACGCAGCCGTGACCGCCGCCACTCGACCTCAGCGAGACCAAAGCGGCGTCACGGTGCGACGTGCCGCGGCGCTCCGAGACGAACCGTGACGCGCCGCGATGCGCCTGATGCGCCGTAGCTCACAGTGATTTGTTATGATCTGCCGTCGCGTCCGTCTCGGCAGATCGTTTATGGTTGTCGCGAAGCAGTGCGGGCGGAGCGGCATTGTCCTGTCACTCATGCGGGAAAACGGACGCCCTGAGTCAGTCTTGCCGCTGGGAAATCTCCTGCCGGGGGTGGTTTCTCCTGCAGTTAGCGCCTGGCGTGACGCCGGCAGTCTGATTGAGGTGTGCTGTGTCTAGTCTACTGGTGCGACTTCTGCCTTTGACCTGTTCTGACCGGACGTTGCTCTACACCGCCTGTCGCCACCCGCCTGACAGACAGAGCTGAATGGGCGTCCCGGAGACTGCTGACACGCCCGTCTGGCCTGGCGCGGTCCACCCGTCACCGGAGCTGCCGCCGAGGCCGAGGCTCTCAGCTGACCGCGGGGTCAGACGGGTGCACCGGCCGCTGCGGGGTCGCCTGGCGGTTTTAGTACGGTCAGCGGCCGACTGACGGCTGCATGCCTGGCTGACGGCGCCGCTCTCACAGTCACACCCCGGCGACCGAGGGCGGAGCTGGGCCGTGCCCTCCGCCAGCGCCTCCCACACGCTCCGGAAGCTGCTGACGTCATGTCGCCGAGGGCTGCTGCAGCTGCCGGGCCGACCGGCCTGCTGACGGCAGCAGCGGCGGCCCCGCGGCGCGCGCCTCAAAAGGACACGGCTGTGGTCCGGCGGACGGAATCTGATCAGTGGCCGGCCGGTCCGAGCCCGACCGGCGCCGAGCGGCCGCCCCGACAGGGCCGTGTTGTGACGGCGGCGGCTCCCGTGTCGCCCGGTCTGCCGCCGGCGGTACCGAGCGGCGTGGGCGGTCGGCCGGCGAGTCACCGACCGGCCGCCGACTGCGGGAGCGTACCGCTGGACGCGGTGGGCTCTGGGACAGGCGCCGAGCGGTGGGTGGTGGACGGTGGGCAAAAGGTAATCGCCGACCGATTACGGAGGGGTGGAGGGTGGACAGAAGGGTGAATGAAGGGATGGGGATCGGGAGACGGATATACCGCGACAAGCGGCGGAGTTTACCTATTAGTAGACGGGAAGTGAGAGACCTCTTCAGTACAATACCTGGATTTGTGATACTGAACAGGTAACGCTTCGCTCTTCAACCAACTAACTGCTCTAATGGCCAGTGCATTAACCATCAATCTATGAGCTGTGGCTTGGCGTCTTGCCGATATATTTTTAGAAACTAACTGCGGCCATCGATTGTCAGCCACTGGCAGGGCATTGCTGTGTAACTTAGCTGTGTGACGGCCCAGGCCGCTGTCTTCGGAGCCTCTCCCTGCCTGGGGAGCCGGCGCTGAACTTTGGGCACACTTTACCGACCACCTTTGGGGCCACTGAGGCGCAAACTTTCGCCATCATCTGTCATGATTCTAAGCGAGGCGTTTGTCAGGCGATCAGGAGCAGCGGAGCTTTGCTACTTTGGCCACACCTCGACAAGACGTGAAGTGTTTACTTTCTTCCGCTTGTATGGCATTTGTGAACAGTGTCTTGGGTTTGGCCGCGCATCGCACCGCGTGTTATATGAGCTTTCTAACAAACACACAATGCCCGCGGGGTGTTGTTTTTTAGAATGGACACGGATCCTCAGTTTTCTCTCTGGTTCATTCCACTATTGAGCGCTCACCACAGTTTTGCATTTGTCAACTCTCAGTGTGTAGACAATAAACGACATATCCTTGGCTGCGCACCCAATAGGGCGGTGACATCACCATTATTCAAATGACATCCCTGCCCCGACAAACAACTCTCAAGCAGCCTGCATAAAAGATGGGATCAAAGCTACCGCTATCATTACTTATATCGCTAAATGGGCATCGGCTCCCAGCTAACCAAATGAATTAGGGAGCTGATTTTGTTAGGCGCACACTGGCTTCTGTTGCTGGCCGCCTATTTGTGTCGTGGGCCTTGGAGAGTCCTAGATCATGATATCAGCCATATTCTACTGTATGTCAGTTACTCTGTTGTATAAACATGATAAAATGCGAAAGCTTAAATCTTCATCAAACAATATTGTTTGTCTGCCCATCCCAATCATCGAATGTGTTTACTGTCTCCAAATCAAAACACCGTCGCCGCCTGTGCTGCTACTCATACCGTCGCCCTGTCGTCCCACCAATACCCAACGTGTCAGTCTGACACCCAGCGTGTCATCCCTCTGACACCCAGCGTGTCAACCCTCGGACACCCAGCGTGTCAACCCTCTGACACCCAGCGTGTCATCTCACTGACACCCAGCGTGTCACCGCCGTCGGTCGGTTCCGTCGCCGTATGCGTGTCGGCTGCGTCGTCACCGACGCTAGCTGTCCCACCGACGGTCGACGGTCGAGGGACGCGCCCCGAGGTGGTGGTAAATATACCGGCGGCCCCGGCCGATCTCGGCTGGCACCTCGGCTCGGCGCGGGCCGGGTCACATCGGACTCTGAGCGTGCTGGGTCGGCCGCAGCTGCCGGGCTGCCGTCGTGGTGTGAGCTGTGTGTGTGGCCGAGCCGACTGAGCAGAACCGCCGCCATGCCACCGCTCTCCTGCGGTTGTGTCGCGCTGAGTGAGGTTGTGTCGCTGCAGTGTCGGGCCGAGTGACGGTTGGATCGTTGTGAACGGTGGTGTGTGAGAGAGGTGGTGTTGCACCGAGTGATAGAGGACCGATGATTCTGGCTGCCTGCGTCGGCGTGATCGCTGTTGAAGATGACAGGTAGGATTGTGAAACTATGGTTTGATTAACCCCAGATGAATGATTTGTCCAGTTTCGGCCTTCAAATCATGCAATTTTCGCTGACATTGCTATGCGACCTGCTGCTTCCTTCAACGAACTCATGTTGCCCGGCATCACAGGTCGTTCACTCCGCTGTACCATGTGGCAGTCTGTCTCGCAGCAGTGACCGCCACTGCCCTGTGCCGTGGGCGCCGCTCCCCTCTCAGCGCGCGGTCTAAGCGGCCAGTCGTTTGGGCCGGTGCCCGCTGCCGGGCCGGTGCCCGCTGCCGGGCCGGTGCCCGCTGCCGGGCCGACTCTGACCTGTTGGCGGCGTGTCAGCGCTCACTGTGGCCGGCCCGTCGGACGGCTCCTGTAATTTTCACCGGGTGAGCGGCCTTTGATGCGCTGCGTCGGGGTGGATCGCCGGCCTGGTGTAGTGTTAGCGGGCAGTTCAGGTCGGCTCAGCCAGTCCCGGTTCTACCTGAGCTATACTGAGATGTGTCCAGCCCCCCCCCCCCCAACCCAGACCAGATCCCCCAAGACCACTGTGCTGGAATGGATTGAGGAGTGCGGCTTTCTGACCGGCGTGGACTGATTTTGTAACTGTCTTTACGGCTATGGTGGATAGTGTGACGGCTGTGACAGGATGTCACCCGGTCCTTTCCGCTGTCTGACAGAGCTGTGACCGAAACCAATGGGCCTGAGAAGCGCTAGTCACGCTGATTCGCCAGTCACTACTCAGAATCTCTTCTCCGCTTCTATTCCCTGCCGGATGGGTGATGAAACTGGACCTGTTAGGGAGTTCCCAATAGCCAGACCGTGTCCTGGGCTGCCAGTCCCTCGACCGGAGCTGCACCCTTGGGATGTTTCCTGCTCCCGGGTCTCTGTGTTCTCCGCCGAACCATATTTGATAATGCACGATTGCCGCATTTTCGGGTATTCATATTCACATAGAAATTTCCCCAGCGGACTCAGTTTCGCCGACGTGCTTTTTACCTGCAATATCGTTCAGATCATGATAGAGTTCGTGCGATCGGCGGGCTGTTTGACGTCCAAATCGCGTGCTCCGCTCGCGTGGCCTCTCTTCGGGCAGCGTTTCGGCTGTCTGTCATGCCGCACCCCGATATCCTGGACATGCCTTTCATTCTGACCGTCTGACGGTGGCAGTCCCAACCGGTCCGCTGCTGTTTGTAAGTATCGTCTGCCTGACCCGCACAGGGTCGGTCCCCGTACGGCCTTCCCTGTCACACTGCTGGGGTGTCACTATGTTCACCATGTCCGGTGACGTTCCACTGCACTGCCAGCCGTTTGGTAACGCTGAATGAAACCTGTTGATGTCTGGTGAGTGCTGATGGCTGGCACGCTCCGTATACCTCCATCGCTGCACAATCGTAAACAGAGCTACTCTGCGGACTGACAGCGGTGCGGACAGTGACCGCCGGCATCTGCAAGAGTGGCGAGCTGTGTGAGGGTCTGCTGGGGATTCGAATTTTGTCGGCGGCAGGCTGGTTGAGACTGGGCCGGGGTGTCGAGACGTGTCGGCGGTGAAGCTCCTGAGAGTCAAGCCCTGTCGGCAGCGGTGACACTCTGACACGGTTATTGCCGTGCTGGCCTAATGAGGTACT